GCCTGAAATAGGCTATGTGTCTGGTGTCTGAATCCAAGACCACTTTTCTAAGGCCAGTTTGTCCTCTGTAAATGGACAGTACTCACTGTTTATTTATGGACACACTGTCTCTCTGTTTATGGACACTTCCTTCCCTGTTTTTAAATATTTTTTCTCTAAAATCATCAATGCCCATTTGTGCCAGAACCTAGGGGAGCAGCTATTAAAACCAGATCCAAGCCAGTGAACTGGAAAAACCTCTTGGAAGACAACAAGAATGATGGTGGTAGTGATGGTGGTGATGATGATAATAGCATTTATAGAATGCTTTAAGGTTTAAAAAATGCTTTACTTGTGTCATCTCATTTGATCCTCATCACAGCTCTGTGTAGAGAAGGTGCTATAGTTAACTGCATTTTATAAGATAAGGAAACTGAGGGTGAGAGAGGTCAAGTGACTTCCTCTGAGTCACACACCTAGTAAAAGGGATCCAGATAGGTCTTCTTGCTGCCAAGTCCAGTGCTCTATTTACTCTGGCAGGTCGTGTTTAAAACTGGATGGAATCTTAAGAACTGTGTGGCCCAATCCTTTTATTTGACAGATGAGGAAACCAAGGCCCAGAGAGTTGAAATGATATGCCCAAAATTACAATAATAGTTAATTGCAGAGATGGAATGTGAAATCAGGTCTTCTAAAGCAAAATCTGGTGCTCTTTCCACTATGTCAGCATACTGATGCTCATAGTAAATGCTTAAACATTTGCTGAATGAATGTGATGGGCTAACTATATGGCAGCTAGTTGGTGCAGTGGATAAAGTGATGGTCCTGGAGTCAGGAAGACTCATCTCCCTGAATTCAAATCCAGCCTCTGACATTTTACAAGCTATATGACCCTGAGCAAGTCATTTAATCCTGTTTGCCTCAGTTTCCTCGTCTATAAAATGAGCTGGAGAAGGCAATGGCAAACCACTCTAAATGGTTTTAGAGAAAACTCTTAATGGGGTTACAAAGACAATTGAAATGATTGAACAGAAACAACAGTATCCATAGGAAAATGCTTCTGCTTTGGTTAGTTTTCCCCCACTGTTATGCTTTTGGGTCATCTCTCCTTTGCCACAGGTTGTTGTATGTTTAAGGAAAACAAACTAATTTTAATAGCAAATGAAAGAAAGCATGATTAAACATGTAAATTTCTGCCTTTGGAGAAGAAAATTCCGTATTGAATGATTCAGCATTTTTTATTATCTTTGCCACCTTTCCCCATGTCAAAGACAAATCAATAAATAATCATTGAACACTTTCTATGGGGTAAACTATTTGGGGAGATAAAAAAGTATAGAATGTTGTCCTTACCTTGAAGGAATAATCATATAAAATTAAACAGTATAAGACAACAGTCAAAAATCCATTGACCATTTGAGTGACAGAAATAATAAATTCTACCAGAGTTCAGAGGAGGGAGAGATTGTGATGGGCTGGGTTAGTCAGGTAAGACTTTGTAAAGGAGTTTGGATGCAAAGTGGGTCCTGAAGGATGCCTGTGATTTGGCTGGGAAGAGAAGGTGGGTCAGAGGGCATTCCAGGAAGAAGAAAAAAAGATAGATATACAGTGAAGAAAAATTCAGTAAGAGGATTGAGGAGAGTGTGGACATCAAAAAGCTCGAAATGTACTCAGTGTGACAGTTCATAGAGCGATTTGGTGAGAATCTAGGTTTATGCAAAGAAATATAGAGAGATCAGGCTGGATAGATTGGAGCTCAACTGTTAATAATTGTTAACAATTAATTATTGTTAATAATTGAAAACACCATGAGAAACACGTGTGCCTTCAATACTGGGACAGTTAGAAAGAGAATGGAACCCTTTGCAAAGGCAATGAGATGAGAGCCATATAAGGAAGAGTAAAAAGAGCAATTGGACTAAACTGTAACATGTACAAAGAAGAGTAATGTGCAGTAAGGATTGAAAGCTAGAATGGAAGCACCATCATGAAACACTTTAATTGCCAAACATCAAGTTTTATATTTGCTCCTAGAGCTAATAAGGGGCTCTTCACAACCTAGTCCCGTATTACATTTCCAGACTAGTCCATTGCCTAGCTCTGAGTGGGGAGAAGGGGATGGATATGTAAGATGTTGTGGTAGTAGAAAAAAGTTTTGACAATAGATTGAATATATGGGGTAAATCAAAAGGAGGATTCAAACACAACCCCGAGGTTGCAAGCCTGGGTTAGTGATAGTGATAGTGATGCAGAACAAAAATAAAGAAATTCAGAAAGGGGTGGTTTGGGGAGGGGGGAATGAGTTCAGTTTAAGTGCTTCAAGGATGTCCAGTTTGCAATATTCAGAGAGCAGGTCACACTCTTAATATTTTATTATTTTAGAATCATAAGCAGCATGATATAATGGCAAAGAGCACTGTTCTCGGAATCAGAAGGACTCAAAAGACTATGGGATCTGTCCATCTGACTTAGAATAGAAACCTTCTCTATATTTACCTCATTTTAATGTGAACTCCTCAAGATCAAGGACTGTCATACTTTTTTCTCCCAATGCTTAGTACAATATTTACACATAGTAGACATTTAATAAATGCCTTTTTCATTCATTTGTTCATTTGTTCATTCATCATCCTGTGTGGCTCTTGTGCTATGACTTTCTATAAATAGTTATTAGAGGACTGACCCAATGTGCTAGAAGCCTTTTTCTTTTAATATATTAAATATAGCCCACGGGCTGTCCATCTGTTATGTCTCATTTTTGCTACATGACCAGAATCTCACCTTCTTTATTGGCTATACATATCATCAGTGATGTCTTTTATACTACCTCTTCCATGAAAGTCTTTTTTTGTCAATATTCTGTAACCTACCATGTATCTTTCTCACTTCTTATTTACTAAGAAAATTGAGATCATTTACTCTCTCTTCTCCATTTTTCTTCATCCCCAAACAGCTTGACACCTCATTCTCCTTTCCTCTAGACCTAAACAATGACTTTCTTCACAAAGACCAGCCTTATGTACCTTTGATCACATTCACTCCCATATTCTCCATTAGATTGCCCCCTCAGACATATCCTCTCTCTCTAATCTTCAAACTCTCCCTATCTATTGATTCCTTCCCTACTACCTTCAAATATGTTTAAGTCCCCCAAACTTTAAAAAAAAAAAAGACCTTCACTCACTTCTACCATACCCTCAAAATGTTATCTTATATCTCTCCTCTTTTCTTAACCAAACTCCAAAGAAAAGCTGTTTACATTGTCTTCAAATCATCTCTTCTCACTCACTCTTCCACCCTTTACAATCTGGCTTCCAACGTCATCCCTCAACTGAAACCAAGAATCTCTTAATTGCCAAAACTGATTACCTTTTCTCAGTCCTCAAACCTTCTTTTTAATCTTTATGTTGCATTTGATTCTCGAACACCTTTCTCCTTCCAAATACTCTTTCCTCTCTAGGTTTTCATGACACTATTCTTGGTTTGTCTCCTACCTACCTATCTGACCATTCAATCTCCTTTGCTAGTTCATCTTCCATATGACACTCCCTAACTGTGAGTGTTCTTCAAGCTTCTGTTTGGGCCTCTCTTCTCCTTATCTCACTTTGTACTCTCTCTTATTAATTTCATCAGTAATTTCATAACTATCATTTCTGTGCAGATAATTCACAGATAGTATATCCAGTGTCAAGCTCTCCCCTGACTTCTAGTCTGAAATCACCAGTTGCTGATTGACCATTTCAAACATGTATCAAACTCTACAGGTCCAAAATGAAATTGTTCTTTCCTCCCCAAACCCACTCCTCTACCAGACTTCTCTATTTCTGTTGAGATCATCACTATTCTTCCAGATTTGTAACCTTATTTTTATTCTCAGCTTCTCACTGTCCCTTGCCCCACATATTTGATCAGTTACTAAATCTTGCAATTTCTATCTACCTCCATACCATCTTTTCTCTCATCCAACCCCTTCTGTCTCATTACATATCGTGTGGATTATTGTAATGGCCTCTGCTTTGGCCTCCCTCTATATCTCATCTCATTCTAACTCATCCCCTGCATAGCTACAAAAGTGATTTTCCATAAGCACAAATCTGACTATGTCAATCTCGTACTCAGTAAATTCCAAGGTGTCCCTATTGCCTTTGAAATAAAACTCCTCTCTTTGGATTTTTAAAGCCATTTACAACCTAACCCTAAGCTATATTTCCAGCCTCATTGTACATTACTCCCCTTTCTACATTTTATTATCTGACTCAAATGGCCTTCCCTTTATCCCTCACGTATGGTACTACACCTCCTCTCTCTGGCCATCTCTTGTGCCTAGAATGGACACCCTCCTCACTCACCTTAATTTCACAGAATCCTGAAATTCTTCAAACTTCACTCAGCTCAAGGATCACTTTCTCCATAAAGTCTTTCCTGATCTTCCAGCCTTCTTTCCCTAACTTCCTTGGACCTGTCATGTATTTATTTTCTATTTATTCTGTTTATATTTCTATATATATGTGTGTCTCCCCCTATAGCATGTAAGCTCCTTAAGAGGAAAAATTCTTTTTTTTTTTCTTTCTATCTCCAGCACCTAGTACAATGTCTGGTGCACAGTATGAACTTTAAAAGATACTCATTAATTGATTGATTTTCTACTACCAAATCTCTCTGACCAGCCAGGCTGCTGGAGGAAAATATGGCAATATCTGTTCACTAGAACAATTTCCCAAATATTGAAGAAATCTGAACAACTCTACATTATAGACATATCTTCATTATTAACTACAGTGCTGCTTTTGTTCATGTTTTTTAAGGTCTTCTTCCTTAGAATGATTTCTGTACCAAGGGAGTTTTGTTGCCATGGTCTTAAAATCACTTAGGTTTGCAAGGCCTCACTCAATAACTTTATTCCCCTTTGAGGATGCACCGTCTTTGCTCCATGACATAAACTTAATTCAAAGAAAAGAACTTGAGATCCATCCAGTGGTTCATCATCCAAGTTGATTTCACCAACTTTCCTTTTATTTCAGATCGGCACTGACTGGGATGCCAAGGAGAGGATATTCCGCAACTTTGGAGGACTCCTCGGGCCAATGGATGAACCAGTAGGGATGCAGAAATGGGGGAAAGGGCCCAATGTGACAGTGACAGTCATTTGGGTTGATCCTGTCAATGTCATTGCAGCCACCTATGACATCTTGATTGAGTCCAGTGCTGAGTTCACACATTACAAACCACCTTTGAACTTGCCCCTTCGGCCTGGAGTTTGGACTGTCAAAATTCTGCATCACTGGGTGCCAGTTGCTGAAACCAAATTCCTTGTTACTCCTCTGACCTTCTCTAACAAACAACCTATTAAGCCAGGTAAGTGCCTTTCACTTACATCATTTCTAGGAAGATATGCTTTTACCTATAGCATAAATTGGTTTTCCTATAGGAATGGTGGTGGTGGTAGTGGTGGTAGTAGGTGGTGGAGTAGATAGAGTGTTAGGCTTAGAATCAAGAAGGCTCATCTCCATGAGTTCAAATCCAGCCTCAGACACTTATGTAATGCTGGGCAAGTCATTTAACTCTGTTGGCCTTAGTTCCTCATCTGTAAAATGAGTTGGAGAAGGAAAAATGGCATAATAATAATACTAACAATAATACTACTAATACTGCTACTACTAACAGTAATAATAAGTCACATTTCTAAAGTGGTTTAGGCTTCACTTTCCTCACAATAACCCTATGAATAGGTAATGCAAATAATGTCTCCATGAGGAAACTGAAACCTAGAGAGGTCAAATGATTTGCCCAGTTTCACATAGCTAGTAAGTATTAGAGCTAGAATTCAAACCTGTGTCTTCTGATTCCAATCCATGTATCTTCCCTCATCATCGTGCTGCCTCTCCATTCTTCAGATGCCTGGGGTGTATTTCAGGTGTATGAAGACCACACTGGGACAATACATGTATTTCCCTCAGGGAGGTACAATCAAGCTTTTTTGCTATAAATAGCTTCTTCATTTTCTCCCTCCACACTTAAGTGACTCCATCTGTCTAATATTTAATATATACCAGACAGATGAAACTCTCCCATTGAGCCTCCTGAAGTTCTTAATCATATTTATGATGGGATGGAAAATAAACTGAGCCAAGCATTTTGCTATCAGGGAGTCTTGTCATTCATGCAATACTAACATCACCAGGCAACTGCTGAGAGCTAATGCACTCTAATTTTCCCCCAGAGGGGTCTGACTTAACATATTTCTCAGCAGGGCACCTAACATGCCTGTTTTTTTCCACATTGTTTTTGTTTTTTTAACTTTTTAAGTTGCATGTCTCTGTTTAAACAACAATGAACAGAGAAGCCAAGAAATGCATTTCAACCACTTAGTTCATCAATAACAATGTGCTAGCTGTCAATTTTGAAAAAAAACACAATGTGGGGGAGAAAAATAGAATTTTGGCCTTAGGGACTTATAACTTCTAGAAGGGGATGCATTAATTTGTATGTCTGTAAATTAGATTAGCCTCCTTTCTTCCTAATTCTTTATGATGACTAAGGTGAAAGCATAGACTTCCTGATGCAGATGTATACTGTCCATTGAGTCTATAACCTACTGATTACTGTTCAGACCAGGCATGGAATTCTGACATTGCCAGGGCTACCTGGGGACAGAGGCTGGGAATTAAGAAGCCATCTTTCCCCTCCAAATCTCAAGGATAGTGATAGAAACATGAGCTCTTTTACTATGAGCTCCTTGAGAACAGGCACTGTCTTTTGCCATTCTTTATATTCTCAGTATTTAGCACAGTGCCTGGAATATAGTAGGTGCTTAATAAATATTTATTTACTAAGTGATTGATTACTTGCTTTTAACCCTTAGCTATACATACCATACACACACATCTAGCAGCTATGTGGTACAGTGGATAGAGTGCCTGGCCTGGAGTCAGGAAGACTCATGTTCATGACCTCAAATCTGGTCTCAGACACTTCCTTAGCTGTCTGCCCCTGAGTAAGGCTCCTAAACCTGTTTGCCTTAGTTTCCTCATCTGTAAAAAGAGCTGAAGAAAGAAATGGCAAGCCATTTCAGTATCTTTGCCAAGAAAACTCCAAGTGGGGTTACAGAGAAACAAAGAATCAGACATGACTGAAAAACGACTCAGCAACAACAAAAAACTTATGAGTGACACACAGAAATGATCAGGAGAACAGCCTTATTCCCCTCTCCCTAGCTGTTCTGACATCAGACAGTACAAAAAAAGAGAAAAGCTGCCCTAGTTGGGATCACTTCAGTTTACCCCATTTCTAACTTGCATTGGGGAATGGCGCCATCTCATGCAAAGTGAGAAAGACCAGGATCATTCAGTCATTGCTGAGCAGACAACGCTTTGCTGGTAATTGCTAACATTTTGTTAACAATGTTCCAGCTACGAAGAACATGAAGGTGGGAGAAAATACAATTTGTTAAACGATTCATCAAGAGTAATTAGCTATTGATGTGTCCCTAGTAATCTCAAGAAATCTGATGAGGTGGAATTGAAGAAAATTTAATTACAGAGGAAAGCATCAAAAGTTGTATTGTAGTAGTATTTCCCATGTTAACCTCACTTCTCATAAGGGTTTTTAATGCAGCAGCAATATTTTACTTCTATTTCAAAATTTTCATTAGCTGCTCCTTTTACTTTGAACTTCCTGGCTTTTATTGCTTTGTCACCATTTTATTTTTTTAACTCTTTCCCCCTCCTCCAACACCACTCCACCTAGACTGAATGAAGGCATTATAAGGCTATGAAAGAAAAATTAAGACTTCCACCAAAGGAAGAAATTCTGTTCCACTGGCTAATGATATCTACCACTGTCTAGGGATGACATGATTTCTATTTACCAGAAATCTGGGGGTGGAGTTAATAATACATAATTGAGTCATTAACAAGAATAAATTTTTATACATTTTGCTTCCCTAAAATATTAAGATTCAGTTATACATATTTAGGTTTTCAGCATAGCATATATTATGTATACTTTGCTTTTGAAAGTGATCGTCAATTTATATGTTCATCCATCCATCCATCCATCCATCCATTCATTCATTCAAGAAATACTTACTAAATGTACCTGGCATGTGCAGAACACACTGTCTTTGTTTTTTAATTCCTTTTAGGAGATGGGAAATATGGAGGGATCCAAATCCAAGATCTTAGGTCATATCCAAGAGTAATGCTTGGGATGCTAATTTCTCAATCTTTGCAACTGAGGGCTACTACCATTTTTGTTTGTGTGATATAAGGAGATTTATATGAATTCTTTTTTGAAGATGACTGCACTTCACAATTTCATTCCTTTCAGTATAGCTATTCATCATTGTCAGTCCTGGTGTTGGCCACAGTGGATGCTAATAGTTCTATTATTCTCTGTCTCTCTCTCTCTCTGTCTCTCACACACACACACACACACACACACACACATACATCCTAGTTAATGTCGCTTATACCTTAGCCATTTCTAAAAGGAAAATATCATTTAAATCCAAGAAAAAATGAAGAACAAATGCAATTATGCCTTTTGAGGAAGTGCCTGATCATAAACTTCCCCATGGAACGCATTCTTTTGCAGAAGGCCCTTGTAAACTTCTGTTGCTTTGTATTTTCTGGCTAGATAGCTAGATGGCATACTGGTTAGAGTGCCAGATCTAGAATTGGGAAGACCTGAGGTCAAATTGGGACTCAGGCACTTACTGTCTACATGACCCTTGGCAAATCACTTTACTCTTTCAGCCTCAGTTTCCTCATCTATAAGATGGAAATAATAATGGCACCCACCTCACAGCATTGTTGTAAGGGTCAAATGAGTATGTAAATGTTGGCTTTTAAAAATGTTCCTGGGGCAGCTAGGTGGCACAGTGGATACAGCACCAGCCCTGGAACTGATTTTCACTCATTCTTTCTACTTCCTCTATTTTATTTTATCTATCTATCTGTATATGTGTGAGATATATATGTAGTACTCAGGGGACTCTTGAGGAGCTGGAGATGGACAGGGGCAAGGAAATGAAGTGAGTCCTATGCCTCTGAAGTAGAGAGCTCCCCCCCCCCAGAATCACTTCACTGCCCTTGCCCCTCTCCAGCTGTTCAAGAGTCCCCCTAATACTACCTATTTTTACTCACCTTCCCACTCCAGACTCACAGATGACTCAAATGGTATGGCACTGTGGAAAGAGCACCATATTTTGAGTTTAAAGACATAGATTTGAAATCTGGCTCTGCTGCTTACTACCCACATGGTCTTAACAAGTCATTTGACCTCTTCAGACCTCAGTTTCTTCTTTTGTAAAATGAAAAGCCTGGATTGAATGTCCTCTAAGGCCCCTTTCAGCTCTAGATCCATAATTGTCTGATCAGATGGTGCATCAAGGAAAAAATGCCTCCCCTTCTCCAATTCAGTAAGAATATTCCTCATCTCCCCCTCCTCAGTGACCACTTCCTTCTCTTGCCTAGCTTCTGCCTTGTCATTACTTACAAATAGCAGGGCTTCTTTGAGGCAAGAGTTTGTGATAAACTTGTTCAAGATATATTTTGGACTTTAAAAGTTTAAGAATAGGGATCATGTGGTTGAGAAAACAAGAATACAGGTAGAAAGGAGGAGGAGGAGAAGGAGAAGATGATGAATATAATGATGATGATGACAATGATGATTCTTATAAAATCATCTCGTCATATCAGTTCCAAGGCTGCCATGTTCCCAGTCCTATTGCTTACTCCTCCTGGATGTGACAAAAGCATCAGCACCTCAAAGTTCTAGCCATAAAGAATAGAAAACAGGGCTGATTGTGTTCAGTTTTTCTAATTCAATTCAATAAGCATTTAATAAGCACCAACTGTGTGCAGTCCACATGATAGTAACTGACGGAAATGTAAATTTTAGATAAGGTAATCCCTGCCCTCATGTAGCTTATTGGTGAGGTATATAATACGTACACTATAATTTAAAGTGATACAACACCTTTTGAAATCCCTGGCACCTAGAGTGCCTGGCACATAGAAGGTGCTTAATACATGCTTGTTGATCAATTAACTCTCTTCTTCCAAGGATCAGCCAGGGTAACAACTCCTCCACGAATCTTTCTCTGAGCCCCCAGTCAAAAGTGATGCTCCTAAAAATTTTCCAAGATCACTCTGTCTCATCTCTCCCTTGGTTCCATCATATTCTACCTTATATTACAGTTCTTTGGCAAATAACTCCCTTGGAAGGGCCTGTATCTTTTTTTTCTCCCATCTTTTTTTATCTCCAGCACCTAAGTCAGTCCTGGGTATGTAATTAGAGCTTAATAAATATTTTTGGTTTTGTTTTTGTTTTTTTTAATGGAAAATAGGAGT